TAATTTGTTATTATTATAATATATTCTCAATTTGTACGATTTGATTCCAATAAGAAAATTAAGAAAAATATATTTGTATCGTTCCTTTGTTTTATTGTTTGTAATGTTAATTTTAATGAATGTGATTGCAGTGTTTTTAATAAAAACTTTGAAGGTAAGATTAAGAAAATTGAACAAAGTTTATTGATTAATAAGTATTATATCTTTTTCAAAGAATACATAATTTTTAATAAAAATTATTTTTAATCTTTCAGTTCTTAATTATTCTCATATTTAATAGTAGTTATTAAATATAGTATATTATATGAATATCAATGATTGATATTGATGATAAAATAAGTACTTATATAATAAAATTATTAAATACTCTTTACAATTAACAAATTACAAGTTAATTAGAATAAATTCTTATCTTTTTGTATAACAATCAAGTAAAAATAATATGTAAAAACTTTTTTAAGATGTATAACACTTCTGTTAAAATGATTTTGAATTTTGAAAATAATTCTCTAAATGACAAATAAATAGATATAAAAATTCTAAGAAAGATAGAGAAGATCAATAGAATGAGAATGAAAAGAATTTTTCGAATAATATTTCTGGAATGGAAAATAGTACATATGCGACCTTTAGAACTCGATCATTGACATATCCACGTTGAATTAATATCGGCACTGCACATTATAAACGTTCCACTCGAACTAGCCTGCCTACCTGTTCAGAATAAGGCTCGTATGGTCCATTTGTGTGTGATAACCCAGATCCGAAAACAAAAACCTTTTGTTTGGCGGTTGAATATCACGATGACGCACTTTGATAATCAGGAAGACTTTCGAGAACTTTGATAAGGTGCGAGGAAATGAAACCTCGAATGGTTTCAAATGAAATCGGGCCATTTTTCCCTCCATAAATATATGCATATTTACATTTCTTTACATTTTAATCAAAGCTTTTACTCGTGTATCATATGTCGTGAAAATAAAGAATTCTTTTTTGAATATGTGCGATTACATATTTTATCATATATATATATATTTTTCTTTGCATTTTAATCAGTATTTTTAGCTGTGTAAGATTTACGTTACAGAAGTGGAAAAAGAAAATAATATTATTTTGAATATTGCACAAAGAATTCTTTTTTAAATATATACGTATGATTAGATATTTTATCAAATATCATGTATGTGTATGTATTCTTTGCGTTTTTAGTTGCATTGCTGGAAAAGAAAATAATAAATAAAATGGAATTATTCTAAACAAAAATTTTCTTCCTTTAAATATATCTTATTGCTAGATATTTAATCCATAAAGTGAAGTGTATACAACTTTGATATTTGATATATTATTTTTTTAAATTAAAAATATGACAAAGCATAACAAATTTTTGACAAATTTGATGTATCTTACTTTCTACTATTTTCTTTTTTCTTTTTATATGGAGAAAAGAACTTTTTAAAAAAATGTGACACATAAATTCTCTATAAAATATCCTTCACTATAAATCTTTTAACTAAAATAAAAGATTTTCTAAAGTGAAAAAACAATATTTCTAAAGTGAATGAATGTAAACAATAAAAAATCGATATGCCATTCCATTTAAAAAAATTAGAAACAAAAAATTTTAAGTCTCATTAAGTTAATGATATTCTACTAATTTATTATTTAATTTAAAAACGAAAATATGTTAGTTTTAAAAAAAATAGATTATTAACACTTTATAAAATTATTATCATTCAAATTGATAAAATCGTATCTTTAAATAGTTTCATTATCACAATCGTTTCTTTTTATACATTCAAAATGATGAAATTGAAGTTCCATGCTCAGAACATGGCACGTTTGATATCTTGTTTAAATATTATACGGAATTGAATCGTTTCGCTAGGAACAGTATGCATGGAAAGTAGAAAGATCACTGTAAAATCTGACGCATTTGTTGTGAAAAGTTTTGCGGTTTGATTATTCGACGTGAGTACGTCGTGCATTAAATTGGAATTGCGTCGAGATATGTACAAATTATTTCATGTAATTGAACCAAAGATCTTGGAAGAATAATAATAATTATAATAATAATAATTTAAATTTTGCGAGGGAAAACAATGTTTCAAATGAGGCATCATTGATGCGTGCGCTGAAGTGGATGATATTTTAGAGATTATTCGCAAGATTATTTCTATTTTTTAAATGGAATTGTACATTTTTTAATATAAAATATATATTATGATTAATCATTTACGAATTTATTTATAGCTTATATATAGTTTATATATAGTTTTTGTTTTAATCTAATATATGGATTATTAGTTTCTTATATTTCTTTTTATTAATTTTATTTTTCTAATCTATTCATCTTAAAGATATTAATTATAAAAAAACTTCACTAATTTCATTAATTTTTGTAAGTTTTTCTTTCGTATAAAAATTTGATATATTTTTGTCGATATAAAAAGTATTTGATATATATATAACTCAAAATAAAGTTTATGTTTATACAAATACAATATTATTGATTTACATAAATAATTTTAATCATATACCTATAATATGCATATTTTTTCCATTAATAAGTCACTGATTCAAAGAGATACAAAAGATACTCAATCTTCTAAATTTGCAAAATTTAGAATTTTAAAAAAAATTAAAAATGTAAAAATAACTCACTAATAATAATAATAATATCAATATAAGTTTAATTCATTTATACACGAATATAAATAATCTCAAAGAAGCATATAATTCAAATCTTGAAATCTTTCATTTTTTAGATTATATATCATGAGGAATGCATCGCGTTTAATTTGATTTCGTCCCATGAAATTTCGTTCTATAAAATCACATCTGAGCCTAATTACACGTGACGGAATCCGTACATCTGGCGTACGACGAAAAATTTCAATATTAAGAAAGGCGAATCTATGCAGGAGAAAATATCGTAGAATGACGAATGGCGGAAAATCGAAGGGGAAGAACTCGGTCATAAATCCTCCCTTGTAAAAGCAAATGACTATCGTTGTTACGAAACGCAAACTTCACCTGTGTGTATTGTTCCTTTCTTACCAAGAGGAATACCAGAACGAATAATTGTCACGATTTGCATAGTTCTCGTGCAATGCAAATTTGTAATCTTTATTTTACAACGTGTTGTAATTTATATCACGATGAGAAATGTAATTGCAGTTGTAAAAACACAGAAACGCGAAAATTAAAACGCAGAAAAAATATACACAGAGATGTATAAAATATAGTAGCTCGCTAAAATTAAAGAAAGTTTTTTGAATGATATATTATAGAGTAATTTATTTTAATTAACTCAAAAATTCTTTTTTGTTGATCTCTGATTTTTATTGATCTTTTTAGAAAGATTGAACCAAATTTTTTCATTAAAATTTTGCTTGGGAATTTATTTTATGACAGAGTAATAAATTCTAAATATTTATTGTAATTTAAAATTTTTTTCTACTTTATATCTTTACAGAATTATTTAAAAAAAAATATATGAAACTGAAATTTTAAACATTGTTTTCATCACTTTAAAATGATATTGTGATAAAAGAAAAATTGTTCTATAACAAATTATTTTTCACAAATAAATTTCATGAATAATAAACAATTTCTTTAAGCGATTAAAAATCTATCAAGATAAACGATCATTAAGAAATATTCTTGAAAAATTGAGAAATTTTTAACGTTGAACAGTGATCCTTTTTTGCGTTCATTAAATTTGAATTTAATCGGTCAAACTTTTTTTCGATAATGTCAATTCAAGTCAAAGAGCTTATTATCTTTGCTCTTGGTAATTTCAAGTTTGATCTTCATCTTAAATATTAAAGCAGACTCCCCTAAGTACTTTGAGTTCTCTTGACCCCTTACGATATCTTCTGTGGACTTCATATCGAATAATGAGTTGCAAAATTCAAACATGACTATGCAAGAAAATTTCAAAATAATTTCATGCTCTTCTTGATTTATTTAATATTTTAAAATAAACATGAAATTTCATTAAGCTGAAGAATAAAACAAAGAAATATAGAATGCAACATTCTATGAAAATTTACTTCATATTCGATAATCTCGACATATAAAATCGATGATTTAAAAATAAATACAACAGCAATTTATAAAAAGAAATAAACAAGTTATAAAAATAAATATTTTTATTAATTCACTATATTCAATGCTATTATAAGATCAAAAAATATCTGTTTACGATAAATTCAGACAGAAATCGACTAGCAACACAGAAATGTATATTACTTGTTTCTTCCCTTTGGTAATTCTAGAATGTTTGTACATGAAATATGTACATACGTATATAGAAGTTTGTTTCTGAGCAAGAAGATGAGCGACAGTTATGAGAGTAGGAAAAAGGATGAAATAAATTGAAGATTATTGGTTTTTTTTAGAGATAAATTCGATTTTAGATATTTGCAAATCATTATAAATATTAATATTAAAAGATAATAATATTATGTACTCTTTCAGATTGAATAAAATATGGTACATCATATTACTGATATTATATAATATTCCATATTATACTTTCTTCTAATCCCAATATTAATTTATATAAAATTTATATAAAATTAGTTAAAAATTAAATTATATCCATTGAATAAAAATTATAAATATTGTACAAATTGATTTTATATAACTAACAAAAAAATTTTCTCGTAGCAAATTTCTTTTTTTTGAACACTTTAATAAAAATTACGTAAAATAATCTTACGTATATTAATTCTTTCGAAATAATATATATTTCTTAATACAAAAACAAATTTTTCAATTTGTCCACGACTCGTTCGACATTCGCATCTTCATTTAAATGGTAAGAACGAACAAGTGTCGAGCTCGATCGATTTCAAGCATTTCTTAAAAATCTTCATCGTTTCTTGAAAAACACTTTGGATTTTTTATGCATATTTTTTATGTGATATACCCAAGAAGTATCTTCGATAACAGATGGCTGTTTGAGTTGCTTCCAATATATCTGGAACACTTACCTTATCGAAACGAGTATCATGGCGAATATCAGGTACTTTCCAAGCAGCGGCACGACCAGCGACGTAGGTGGAATGATCTCGACGACCAGCAGGAAAAACACGTGAAGACTGATGAGAATGGAAATGGAGAGCGTGACCTGTAACGATGAGTTATTCGATTAAAATTTATCCTATTTGAATTGTCCAACGTTAATTGTGGAAATATTGACAGATTTTTGTAATAATTTTCCATAAAAAGAGATGTTTGTTTTATTACATAAACACAGTAAAATACTATTTTTAAGAAAAGTGTGTTAGAAGAAATTGTTGTTATTAACAGTTTTCAAATATTTAAATAAAATAATGATAAGTAAGATTATTATATATAAAAAAATTAAATTATTATTCTTCTCTCTTTTCACGAAATAGGTCGCTGATCATATTCAATATAATATTTTATATTTAGAGTTATAAAAAAAAATTTGTTTACAAAAGTTGTATAGTAAATAGAAGGTAATGATATGAGAGTAATTTTTTTTTTATAGATAGTTCAAAATAAAAGTTTATTTTTTTATATTTATTTTTCTATTTTTAGTTAAATAGCAGATGTTTATATAATAATTTCATTATTCAGCGAATTATGCCTTATTTTTATTGATAAATTTTGAATTAAAAAGGGAAAATGAAATTCTCATTTACCAAGAATATCAATTAGATATTCAGGGCTATATCGATGTGAATGTGTATTTTTTCACATATTTATTGATGTAATATTATTAGATTTATTTTTTTACTTGTTGCCAAAGAATTTTGACTGATTATTAAAAATCATTGAGTGGATTAGACTCTTTATTTTATTAATTATTTTATTTTATTAATACGTTATTTTATTAATAACAGAGAAATATTATATTTAAAGTAAACAAAGAGACCTTGGTATTTTCGAAAATCCTTCACTCACAAAAAAGAATTATTTTTGTCTCATAGCTTCTTTTCTACCATATAATTTTTTATAGACAAAGTTTCTTTATGATTCTAAAAATAACGGAGATATTCAAGGTGATCAGAATTATTGCCCCACTTTATATATTAATTAATAATATTAATATTAATATTATAATCACTATTTAAATTTATTTTTTTTCTTTTCATTTCTATTTATTTATTTTGATAAATTATATTTTATATCAATTTATTTTATTCATGTTTAATAAAGATTAATTATTGTAATGCAAGATTTTATTTCATTTATATTTTAATTAAAAATAATAACTAGATTTATATTAATGTTATCTATTAGTATTATCTTGATATTAATATGATATGAAAATATTAATATGAAAATATTAACATGAAAAAAAAATAATTTGAATTATTCAACATATAATATAACATATAATAAGTATGTTAAAAAATATGAATAGATATAATATTGTTTCCTAAATTATTTTTGTAGCATAATGTTTTTAAAGACAAAATATTTATTATACTCTTGATACCATTTATTTCAAGAAGATATTTACTTTTATAATTAACATAATATTACCAGTTAAAAATTAATTTAAAAAAAAATTATAATATTTAACTATATAATAATTTAATAATTATTATTATTTATTATTATGACTTTAATTTTATTTTCTATAAATAGAATGTATATAAATTGAATATTTAATTTGTTTTTCCTTTGAGAAAAATTTTTTCAATTATATCAAAATGAATTTTTATTTTTCTTGTTTTATCAGGATTCTTCTGACAAGAGACAAATTAAATTTTATTCAAACAAGACATTGTAGATGTAGTGGGCTGGAAAATTTGATATGAATAAAGAATATGAAACAGGAATAAAGAATAAATAGAGGATAAAAGAAGATGAAATATTAAGTAAAGTTATTAAAATTATTTTATAAAATTATTTAATAAATAACACTATAATGTGAAATTATTATTCTGTATATTTATATATAATAAATATATTATTGTTTTTTAATGTATTAAAATTGTCAATTTTAAGAACCAAAAATTTTATTTATTTAATTCGTGATAAGCAACAAAAACAACAAAATGATGATCAACTTTATAATATCAAATAAACAATAAATAAATAAATAACTTAAATTTATGTTATAATGTACTTTAAATTTAAATATTCAGAGAATCAATAAATTGCATAAATTTCATATTTATATTGCCAAATGCTATAAATTAATTATATAATTAACTGAATACAACAGTTTATTATAGTGACTTAATTACTATTGCATTGAAGTATTTTCACATTTTCATGTTAAATTTTGCCATTATATATTGCTTATTGTAGAAAAATTTATGTCAATTAAATAAATATTTTCGTTTTTACTAATTATAAATTATTATAATTCAAATGCGATAATTAATTGTCAGAAAATAATTGACAAAAAATTAAAATTACAATTAAAGAGTATTATTGCATATATCAATAATTATCAGCACACAATGTATTAATATCAATCATTACATTTCATTTATTAAAGAGAATTTTAATCTTAATAACTTTACGTAATATTGCTAATTTTCTCGGTTTCTCTCATTAAATTCACTCATTTATATTCATTCAAATTCATTATTCTTGTTTCATATTCTTTATTCGTGCCATAAATACAAATTTTATATTAATGAGAGTTGTTGTAAATAGATGGCTAAAAGAACGAGGAAAAAATATTGCAGTTATAATAGAAAATTTTGTAATTTAAAAAAATTTCTTGATTAATGGAATGTTGCAAACTTAATATGATATTTCATTATTTTGAGGCTAGTTATTTTCACAAGAGAATATTATTTGTTGTAGGGATATTCTGATGAATATTCATAATATATTCATGATATTTTTCATAAAAATAATTTTTGATTGCAATTTTATGATTTATAGAAAAACAGAGTTATTTTTATAGGTTTCTAACATATGTTACAACAGATTTCTAGACTTTTTAGATTTTTTTTGTCAAATTATGTTAGCATTTTTTGCAATTATTAAAATCTGTAATTATTTAAACAAGAAATTTGCTAAATTTATTTTTGCATAGTATAGATTATTATAACAAAAAATATTTGTTATAAATATTTATTATTTTTATTTTTATTTTTTACTTCTATGGGACTTTATATTATATCAATGTTATTTATGAATAAATTGTAAATTTTGCAATTGTCAATTTATGCAATTGAAATAGAATATATATATGATATAAAATATATAATATATATATATTATATATAAAATATATGATATATATTTGCATAATATATATTTGCAAAATATTATTAATTCCATTATATTCATTTATTTACTCTGATATAAAATTAATTTTTCCATTTATTCTTTCTAATAAATTTTTTATCATTTATCTGAAAAAAATTTAAAAAAAATTGTTTTTTACGCAATATATATCATTATATCATATTGGAATCTCTCTTGATTCTTTTATAAACCTATCAGAATTTTTTCAGTTTTCAATATTATATCACAACTAAAAGTTTCATAAATATATATATGTATATATATAACATATTTCATTTAAATGAATAACAAATATTATCCTAAATTATTTTCATTAATTTATTATATCATTTTTATTAAAAAAACCTGTTGTTTATTCAAACCCTCGAACATTTTAAAAAATGTATCTCTTCTCAGAATTATTGAGTTAAAAAGTCATAAAAAAAGAAAAAAAAAAGAAAAGAAATGTTTGCTGGAGAAATAATGCCGCGGTCACGAAAACACGAAACTCCGAATATCTTACACAGTTACCTCGTCGCGACACGTTTCGCCGTTATTAATCCAGAATTTCCGAGTTACGTTTCCGGCCACGAACAACAGAATCCATCGGGTTTATAATACGTTAGCACACAGAAGTGTCTTCACCGTTACAATTGGGTCAATATTGTTCTATATTGATAGTTGACACACCTTCCGAACTCACGGTAAATTGGATCTTGTCTAATATCGGGAATAAAGAGAACGCCACCACCACCACCACCACGATTCTGCTAAACTTGAACGTATGACACATTTGCGGAACGGTCTTGTAATTCGATTTATCGGCAAGATGTGCTCCTTATTCGATGTCACGGAATAATTGAAGCATTTAGCTAAAGGAAAGAAGAGTAAAGACGTTCAATTTCCCCCCTCCCCCATTTTTCGAATGTTTTTTGATTCGATGTTTTAATCTTTTTTTTCGAGAACAAAGTAAGAAGAGAAAGTAATAATAAATGGGAAGAATTGAATTCGATGATTAGTGAATCTTATTTATCTTATATCTCCGTGAAGAGATATTTTTCTTTTATTTTGTTATTAAATGAATGAAATGAAAACGTTGAAATCGATAGTTATAATTTTGTTGTGAAAGAGTATTTTATTTTTTATATCATTATTGTAATTAAATAAAAAAAATTTATTATATTATAAAAATAAAGGTACGGAATTAAAGTAATTTTATATGTTCTTTTAAATGGATTAATTGGAACGAACGATTTAATCATTTCTTTGCAAGATAAATGAATGTTGTACCATTGAGAAGAAATTTTATTTGGAAGTAGTTCGAGTATAATTGGTCAGACGCGTAGTATTGGACATAGAATATATTTTATGAAAGGATTAATCGATATTAATTTTTAAAATATATATTCACTATACAATTGTAAATATTAAAAAAAAATAGAATAAGAATAGAAAAAATAGAATAGGATTAAAAAAAGTTTATATTTCCATTGATTGATATTCAATTTCAATTATGTTTTAAATTGTCTCTGTTTATAAACAAGAATAAAAAATGAAATAATATGTTATTTAACATAAAATTATTAATTTATTGTTATTATATATAATTTTATTAATATATCTAAATTATATATTAGATTAGATTTTAATTATTAAATTAATTTATTGCTTTTTTTTTTATATACAACAGTTTTATTTCAAAACTTATCCATTTAATTAGAACACGAGAAATAAATATCTATTATTTTTAAAATGGATGATTATCATTTATAAAGAAATTTTGAATATTGATGATGTAAAAATGATTGTTTTATCAATTTTCATGAAAAATAACTTTATATCACTTTTACAATAAACATCATATAATTTCACAAATTATTTTTAATTATTCATATTACAACG